AGAGAGAGCGAGAGAGAGAGAGAGAGAGAGAGAGAGAGAGAGAGAGAGAGAGAGAGAGAGAGAGATAGATAGATAGATAGATATAATATCTCTCTCTCTCTCTCTCTGTATGTATGTATGTCTCTCTCTCTAAGCTTACTAGCATCACACTGTTAGCACGTTAGCATCCGACAAGCTAGCTACTCCCCCACCTGAAGTTCGACCAGGCGAACTTCTGCGCCAGCTGAAAGTTCGGCTGGTCCTCCTCGTCCTCCACCCCGCCGATGCATCTGATCAGCTTCTTCGTTTCTCTCTCCGTCTCCTTTTCGAAAGCGGTCCAGTGAGCCATGTTGATGTTGACAGTGGTGCTGTGGTTAGCTGACAGCTAGCTAGCTTGGACGTTAGCTACATGTAGCTACATGTAAGCTATCTGTCAGTCAGTGTTGATGTCGGCCTGGTGATGATTCGTCGAGCTACAGAGCTATCATGAACAATAACATGTTAGATGACGCCATTTTATTGCAATTGGCACGAGTGTTTTTAGCGATGTTCGGCGCGGCGTTTTTCGTGTTCTTCTTCTTTCAGTTTATTAGCGGACTGCAACCCAACGTTTAACGTGCATGCCGCCACCTACTGTACCGGAAGTGTGTAACATCATGACTTTTATGACAGTTATCATTTAAACACAATAATAATGTTATTTGTAAATAAAATGAAAACAAAAATAAAACTTCATATTGAAGTTATATTCTGGATATTAAATTGGATATTAAATCGGTTTGCCTCCCAAGCAACCAATGAGGGGAAGAATGCGCATGCGCAACATCAAAATAAAGTTTAAAAAAAAGATTTTTGTTTCATTTACGTGTGAAAGTTCGTGTTTGAAACTGTGAATTTAGGGCAGCCAACACGTTTTATGTCCATAGTGATAAGATTACACAACCGACACTATTCAAAGAGGAACACTCATTTGGAAGTGAAGCTCCCATAATCCATTGCGCTACTCCAGCAGCGTTACGGCAGGTAGTAGCCGTTGGGTCCTCTTCCTATAAAGGCTCTTTGAGATTTCCACTCTAACGGCGCTAAATCTTCAGTTTCGTGACTGTTTTACAAATAAATAAGTAAAAAGTGCTAAAAAATAGTCAAAACTACACATTTTAAAACGGTTTTATAAAGAGTATAGCAAGGTTACGGCAGGTAGTAGCCATCTTTTCCTTCAAGGCTCTTCGAGATTTCGAATTAAACGGAACTTTTATAGACTATCCATCCATAAATAGATGGATGGATAGATAGATAGACACTTTATTAATCCCACAAGGGGACATTTCTTCGCTACAGCATCATTTATGATACAGGTAAATAAAATACAAATAGTAAATATAAAAATGCAAATGCACAATATATACAACACAAATAACAGAGTAAAAATATTAAATATAAAATGCACATTATATACAATGAAATAGAATGTATAAATCAATATTAAAATTAACTAACTAACCAAACAATATTGCAACGATTTAACCAAACAACAAACTGTTTATGGCTTGTTTCACAAAGAAATAACTACAATCTACACGTTTCTTAACGCTTTTTATGACAATTGCACCATCGTGTATTTCACTGCAAACATGAAAATAAAATAATCTGGTTGTTTTTACTTTAAATGGGCGTGGCTATCGCCCCCCCCCCCCTCCCTCCCACACACACACACACACACCCACACAACTTTACTGTAGTTCCGAGGCGGAGCTCACAAAGCGCTGCAGACCCTCCAGAGCAGCAGCTAGTCAGCTAGCTAGGAGAGGAAATGAAGAGGAGGTTACATAAGAAATACTTGGTTCTGATCCTGGCATACTCGGGTTTGCTGCTGCTAATCCCGTACGTGTTGGATTACCGGGACAAATCCGTGCAGCGCGCTAAACACGGACTGCAGCAACAACAGCCAAAATGCCCAGATTTGGAGAACACCGTGGCGCTGCTGTGGGATAATAACGGTTACCGAGTTAACGGCAGCGAGGAGCACGCCGTCAACCGGAGCCAGCCTCGGATAAACATCTACTTGCATGCCACCTGGAGGACCGGCTCCTCGTTCCTCGGGGAGTTGTTCAACCAGCACCCGGACGCGTTCTACCTGTACGAGCCGATGTGGCACATATGGCAGGCTCTGTACCCGGGGGATGCGGGCAGCCTGCAGGGCGCGGTGCGGGACATGATGAACGCGCTGTACCGCTGCGACTTCTCCGTGCTCAAGCTGTACGCCGGCTCGCAGAACATCACCACGTCCTTCATCTTCGGCTGGAAGATGAACAAGGTGATCTGCTCGGAGCCGCTGTGCGACGCGCACAAGCGGCACGAGATCGGGCTGGTGAGGGAGGACCGGTGCGCAAAGTGCCCAAAGCGGGACATCAGGGACCTGGAGAGGGAGTGTAAGAAGTACCCGGTGATGGTGATCAAAGGGGTGCGCGTGTTGGACCTGAGTACGCTGGTGCCTCTGATGAGAGACCCGGCGATAAACCTCCAGATCGTCCAGCTCTTCAGGGACCCGAGGTCCGTGCACAACTCCCGCCTGAAGTCCAAGCAGGCCCTGGTGAAGGAGAGCATCCAGGTGCTGCGGAGCAAGAAGCAGACCGACAAGTACAAGCGGCTCCTCGTGCCGAGCAACCGGGTGAACCGGGTCGAGAGCTACGTCTCCAGCGCCATGGAGCTCATCTGCGACAACTGGCTCGGGGACATGATGCTGGTGGCGAACGCGCCCCCCTGGGTGAGGAGGAACTACCTGCGCGTACGCTACGAGAACCTGGTGCTGCACCCGCTGGAGGAGCTCCAGCGGCTGCTCCGCTTCGCCAACCTCTCCAGCTCACCGGCTCTGGAGAAGTTTGCGCTGAACATGACGCACGGCCAGGGCTACTCCTCGGACAGGCCGTTCCAGATCTCCTCCAGGGACGCCAAAGAGGCGATATACGCCTGGAGGGAGAGGCTCAGCGTGGAGCAGATACATCAGGTGGAGGCCTACTGCAGCGAGGTCATGAGGCAGCTCGGCTATGAGAGGAGCGGTGGGGCCAAAACACCATGAGGACGAGCCGAGGTGAGAGCGCGCACTTTAAACTTAACCAGCAGACACGCATCATGTGTTTAAACCTCCACTGCTGTCACAGCAGGACGCTGGTGGTTTAACAGAAACAGTCCTCCAGGCTGCTGCTGCTCTGTGGCTGATCCCTGACCTTTGACCTCCCTCTCGCTGATGCAAATTGAGAACAGAGCGTCCATACGGACTCTGCATAGTGACACTGTGTTTCAGGCTGTTTTCATTTTGTGTGTGTGTGTGTGTGTGTGTGTGTGTGGTACCGTACCGTTTCTCTGTGTGCAGAGCATGAAATGGTGCAACCTGCACAAGTGCGAAGTGGAAACTTCACAATTGCTGCAAGATTTGAGGACATTTTAACACGGTAAATGTTTTTCTGTTGAGGAGCCATTGCAGACACTCTGATGATGTCATAGAACATGTCCGGAAGGTGCTTTCTAATTTGATTGAATTTGATTTTGCTGACCGAGCCATGAACAAAAACAAACATCTGTGGATTGTGATATTTGATATCATCTGCTATCCGTTCACATAATAACGGACTCTGCTGTCATGTTGTAACAGCTCAACCTGTTCATGTGTTCCTGTTCCCTTCTGGTGTTAACATCAAAGGAAGCTCATTTATTTGGATGCTCTAAAGCTTTTTATAAATCCAGGAACATGTTGACTCCACTGTAACAGATATGTTGTATCCATCAGAGCGACACAGAGAGGTTTCTCCCTCCTGATGCTGTTTAATAGAGGCTTCATTGTTCTCCTCCCTGGCTGTGCTGAGTCCTCTCATTGATGGGGGGGGGGGGGGGCGGGCAGCGAGTCTGTGAGCGAGTCTGTGGACCTCAGACTCTGCTGTCAAGAAGGGGGTCATTGTGTGGGGCTGTCCATGACGGGACAGAGCTCCCCGAGTCACCAGCAGCAGCTGGGCACCAAGTAGAAACAGGGCGGAGGCCGCCTGGTCTCTCTGCCACCACCCTGAGTCTAGCACTGATAGACATGGATGGGTTACTGAACAGAGCCACTGGGCACAAGGCTCAGGGGCTCAAAGTGTCAGGCCCCCTGCAACATGTCACTCAGATAGACACCTACTAACCAGGGAGACTCCAAATGACTACAAAGACGACAAATATACACAAAATGATTACAAAAAGAGGCTAAACAACTTTAAAGTCTGGTTTTCTTGCTGCTATGTAGGAGGTGGTGGGGCCTGATGCATGTCTGTACCCAGGGGCCCGTTGTCTCATGATCCGCCCATGCCGATAGAGATGGAGGTCATGAACATTATTAATCCTATTGCAAAGGTCCTTATGCTCTGTGTCTGTTTCAGTGAGCAGCTGTAATCCAGAACGTACAGGTTCATATGTAACCCTCCTCCCTCTCTTCCAGGGGCCCGGTACTTCTACGCTGTGGGTGAAAGGTGGGACAAGAAAACGAGCAGCTGGAATGTGGTCCGCTGGGAGCTCGGGAGCTCTCGGCTGCTTTTCCTTCAGCCGAGGAGCGTCGGTGAACTGGAGGAAACCCAAGAGGATGAGAGCAGCCAATCACAGACAGATGAATTTAAAAACGGGGGACGAGATAGTGGCTTATGTTTGTACAGTGTGTTTAATACCAGCGGGGGAAACCAAAACACAGAGACAAGGCCGGATTGTGGCCGGTCTCCATCCTTCTGTCCTTCTTTAGTAGCACTAATCCCTCCTCACATCCCCTGCCGGCGAGTGCCAACAAGAAGCCCGAGATGGGTGATTTTTAGGGAGGTCGACTTCCCGGATCCAGGGCGGCTCGCTCATCCGTCCAGCGTACGACTAGCAGTCGACGTGGAGCTCTGAGACAAGAAACGCCAGTATTTTCTGGAGTAGAGGGCCTGACTGAGGAACCGTTGTTCCACCCCCGGCCCCTCAGGAATCCAGACAGCTGCAGCGCCCAACTGACAAAACACTCACACGGGTGTGAAATGTTCTAAAACGTCCTTGGGAGAGCTGCTTCTCCCAACCAGCATCTTTATTCTTTAGCAACAGACGGTACGGATTCATTTTGTGTTTATAGGTTTTTTGGTCTAAAATACTATAAAATGCTGCGACATCCCTCCGGAGGCCTCCAGCATCTACGTGTTCAACTTCAGAAGTTGGTTCTGTAAGAGAGAAGTACTCTCGTCAGAGAAAGAAATAACTTTCAGATTATTTAATCTGACCTCAATAAAGACTAGAGAAGAGAAACGTGTGAGTGAAAGTCATTAACATTAAAGAGACAGTCCTGATGTTCTGTAGTGTGTGTGTGAGGTTCTCC